TAGCAAATAGGCTATTTTCTAACAGGTCTAAGAACCATTACTAACAATCCTTTTTCCCCCTGTGTTTCTGTTTGAAGGGTGGGATATGGCAGTAAATTTGCGGGGTACAGAAGCATAACACCATAGTTCTCATGGAATGGCAACGCATGGGGAGGGGGGATCATGGAAACAGTATAGTCTGTTATGTCCATGATTCTGCTCATATCTATAGGCGATGGTTACTACTTTCCATTAGGTACGCTGTCAGTTTGTTTGTCATTCAAAGATCCATAAAAAAAATGCCATGAAACTAAATGCAATAGTAATACGCAGTAGATTCCATTTTGTTCCATAAAAAGGTGTACCAATAAGTCTCTCGGGATGATAAACATCAGACTCAATAAGAGAAACTGCGGTAACTCACTCCCTAAATTTGAATATGTTTGGCTATGGATAAATTCAATGTTGCATTTATCACAATGGGAATACTGACAACGAAACCGATTGATTGATTATATTATCCCATCTGGTGTTGTGGGTGAATTAATGTTATATCTATCTATACCAGTGGTTTCCAAACTTTTCTGAGCTGTAATCCCTCTTTAATTTTTTATTTAAATAGATCTCGTTTTTTCGGAGTCACTGGGTCCCTTTGATATAAAATTAATTTGAGACCATTTTTCATTAGCTGTCAATTTATTATTCATCTCATTCAATTCATAGATTTTTCAAAATTCTGTTGACGCAGTCGCATAGGATTTTTTGTCGTTACTTGAATGGTGGTTATAGATATTGTGAATGTGTGGATTCACCCTTTTTAGTTAATATGGATTAAAAAAATATATTGCTTCCCTCATTTGCATCTCGAGTTGCCACCTCCTATGGAAGGCTCACTGGGGAGCGATAACGCCAGAATGCGTGTAAAAATCTCATTTATTCACAATGGGATGACTTTATCACTGTCTCTGTTGTCTTCTCATATTTATATTAATTAGCAATTATACAACTGCATTCTGTTAGTTGTATCGTAGGTTTTCTTAAATTTATTATGTACTTGTGAAATATTTTTTATTGTGTTATATTTCATTGTAATTTTTTTCAATAGCAAACATTATTAATAGTCATGTGGTCCCGGCATAGAATAGGCCACCCCCCTCCTTTCCCGTGGGTGTCGTAAAAGCCGACTAAGGAAAGGCGAGGGATGGGCAGCAGCGTTCCTCTTAAAACATCTCTAAAGCCTGACTGCGGTTGCCTATCCACCTGCCAAGCGTAGTAATTACTGGCAAAACCCCCCAAGGGGGAGGTTTATGTTCAGCAGTGGACAATTAAAGGCTGATATGATGATGACGATGATGAAAACATTATGCTTCCTTCATTTATTGTGGTTTTGAAAAATTCTAATTGTAGCGAAGTATGTTTCGATGGCATTATTAGTAGAAACTTTACCTAAAATTATATACTATTTGTAAAAAATGCTTTAATTTGTTATTAAAGAACATAAATTTTAGATCGAGCTGTACATAAATATACTAAAACTGCAAATGAAAAAAAAAAAATAACCATTTAAGTATTTACTTAAACTTTTAGAGCATTTTGTATTTCGTATTTAGTTCAAGTTCAGTTCCTAAGGTTTTATCTAGTTAGTATTATTCACTGAATAATTGACTACCAGCTGTTTTATCCTCGACAAGATTAAATTTACTAAATACTGTTGTATATTTCGAATAAGATACGGCGGGATTGATATGTTATGTACATAAAATCTATGAGTAAGGCATACATGTATTTAGATAAGGTATTTAACATGACTATGTTAGTGTCAGTTTTATTGAATATGTAGTAACTTTGTAAATTATTTTGGCAAACAGTTGGTACATACAAGTAACACAGCAGTAGTAAACTCGAAATAAAATTCTATATTAGGCTGCGTGGCCAGCATAGTGATAGTAGGTTAATATTCTCCTTTTATGCAAAAGAGATTTGTTTCTAGTAGTAGGACGTCTAAAACATATTACGATTCTAGGGATTCTAAACAAAAAGAACGTCTTATCGTAATATATTTAATGAAAATTGATATCGTTAATCAAAACTAATAGTAGTCGAATAGCCCTTAAAGTCTGCAAGCTCAAGTGGCAGTGGGGGAGAAAGCTGTTAGAATGGAGACTTTCCTCCAGATGGATCGACGATCTTCGTAAGACAGCAGAAAGAAAATGGATACAAAAGATATAGGATCGTATTGGTTGGAAGGCATTAAGGGAGACCTATATCCAGCATCGAATCGGAGTATACTGACGGTGATTATGAATCAAATGATTGTGACCAACAACAAAACAAAAATAAAAATCGAAATAATGCCCGCTATTTTTAAATAGTGGAATTAAAATTGCAGCTTCTAATAAATATTCTATCACACTAATGAAGTAGCGAGTAAAGCTAGTAAATTACATAATTATGGTGTTAATATAATTATGATGTTTGTGTAAGTTGATTTCGCAAGGTCGTTCGCGTCGTCACGGTCATTCTTCATGACATTATCAATAACCAGCTATTTTTTTTATTATTATTTCACATATAGGAAATTTTTTATCGTGTATGTAGTATCATATAATACTATAGAAATATAGTACGTTTTTGTGAATACTCTTTTTACTACAATCACATTGTAATATTGGTACGAGGGTCATTTGAAAAGTTCTTAGCCTAACATACATAATGAAACCACACGATTTTGAGTTTATTTTATTTTTCAACATACTCTCCTCCGAGCTCAAAACGCTTTTTCCATCGACCCGGTAAGGCTTCAATAAAATCTTCGTCTAACTCCTCAAAATAAGCGTCCACAGCGGCTATGACCTCTTCATTTGAAAAAAAATGTTTACCATCTAATAATTTTTTCAGCTTTGGGAACAGATAAAAGTCGGACGGTGCTATAATATAAATCCGGTGAATATGGGGGATGAGGTGACAATTCGAAGCCACATTGATGGATTTCTGCCATGGATTGCACAGAGGTGTGAACGCGCGCATTGTCCTGATGAAACAAGACTTTTCTTCTCAATAAACCTGGACGTTTTTCTTTGATTTCTTCTCTCAAACGACGCAACAGGTTGCAATAGTAATCGGAGTTTATTGTTTCACCCTTTTTTAAATAATACACGAGAATAATACAATATCAGAATATCCACGAAAATTCTCGTACCTGCTAGGTACTTTAGTGGTAAAATACTTATTATATACTAACAATAAATTATTTATAGGAATTTATAGACAACGAGAATTTAATTAATTTATTAAGTTGTTAGGAAAAAAGAAAAAAAAAGGTTTATCTATAGAGGTTTTGGAAATCTAAGTGTACTGTTATGGGCTTTTGTTGCTGACTGTAAATTATTGCTTCCGTGTTCTACACGTGTCTCGTCATCTTGTCGAATAATTACCTATAAATATATTATTCGTATGATTTTTAAGGCATACAGATATGAATATAATGAGTCAGGAAGAAGCAATACCTTTGCCCTTCGTCTGGTTTACGCAATTTAAAAAGGTAAAGTGGGTGCTGTTCAATAAGCGGAATAAGCTAATTATAATTGTGGATGTCATTTTAATGAATATGTAATGTCTTTTTAATTACAATAATAATTAGGTTACTTGTTCAATTCTTTTACGAATGTAAGAAATAATAAAATTATAATTGTTAGTACGTGTAATCCATGACTTTGGTCACGTAAACTAGGATAAACTATTTAGTAGTTTACTAGTATTGTTAGATAACTAGTAGTATTAGGGAATCTATTCCAATATATATACTATTCCAATATATATATATTGGAATAGTTATATTGTACCTATTAAAGGTTCATAATTGGCAGGATTGCTTTTTTTTATGAATGATAATGAAATGGTAACTCCGCCTGCGCTAACGGTATACGCTGGCGGGGCACCAGTGAGAGATGACAGGTGAGGATGAATAGACTGGCCAGTTAGCCCATCGTGATAAATGCACTTAGAATTCAGCACGATGGTTTCCAGGGGGACCATGGGGAGGTCGAACTGTAAGGGTATATTGTTAGCAATGGGACTGATAATCCGCATTACTAACAATCCCTTCCCCCCAGGGATTGCTATTTTTTTTAATGGGTGATAATGGAATGGTAACCCCACCCGCGCTATTGGTATACACCGGCAGATAGATGAGGATGAAGCAGGTCAGTTAGCCCATCGTGACGAATTCAACAAGAATTGTTCACGATGGTTTCCAGGGGAAACCACGTGGGGGGTCGACCTGATAGGGCATATTGCTAACAATGTCGAAGTTCATTGCTAACAATCCCTTTTCCCCTCCCAGGGATTGCTATTAATACACCCTTTCAGGTCGACCTCCAAACGGGTCCCCTGGAAACCATCGTGGTTAATTCTAGTGTAATTCGCTATGATGGGTTAAGGGATATACCTGTTCATTCTCACCTACCATCCCTCACTGGTGCCCGACCAGCGTATCCCGATAGCGCAGGCAGGATTATCATTCTATTATCACCCATTAAAAGAAGTTCTCTGGATTGCCAATGCTGATATTGTATCATGAAACTGAACAATTTCCTCAAAGAATTACGAGTCGAAAAACGACAAAATGTTTTGAGCCTCCAGATTAAAATCACACAATGGTATGTGTAAGCTTTAGCAACCTATCCCAATGGGCCCATTGTCTCCATGGTAAAATGACCACAGATAAGATATCTTCATTTTTGAGTATTTGCGCTTTTATGGGTACGCTGTTGCCATAGCTGTCTCACTAGGGCGAGATGACGTGGCGTAATATCAATCATTTTTATGAAAATAATTTTGAAATAAACAGGTTTACGGAAATTCCACAAATACTACCTATTTTGTACTTGTCTATCCGTCATGTAATACGGAGTATTTGATTTTTATTATGAAATAAAACCGTATACGTATATAGTTACGACTTTTATTTCTTTAAAACGCTTTATGTACGAAGGCAAACTAGTCAGTCAGTTAAGTGCGCCTACGCATCCAAGTTCAGTGTTGCCAAAACGTTAAACGTAAATGGACGTGTTATATAATATAATAGAGAACGTGAAGCGCGCGTTTTTAAATCGAATTTAATTTTTCGTATTTGTGAATTAAATACTTTTTTTTGTGTCGTGAATTGTTCTATAGTGATTTTGTTTTATGCCAATATTTTTGGAGGGCTGTACTTAAATTGATACGGTATGTTTTCTAATATATATTTAGAATATTCGTATATTGGTAGCTTGCTGTTATTAGATTACGTTGTAACCAAATTGCATTAATAATATGCAATATCTAAGTGTATGATAAAATTCGTCGTCGTCATTTATAGAGTCATTTTAATAGACTGGGATAAAAAGAAACTTAAATTTACTACCTGTCTTTCATGATGATTAGTTGAGTTGATATAATATTATGAGGTATTTTTTTATTTTTGATACTTATATGTTATATTTATAATTCAAAATTTTGTGAATTTATCCGTATGAGTTATTTTAATAATATAAATTTCTCAATGGATATTTATTAATAAGATCCCGTTTTTATTACAAATTATTAAAGTAAAAAGATTTTTTTATACAAATTTTAATTCATTATAACGTAATGAATTAACCTTTATTTATTGAAGGCCCTATTGTTTTGTAAACAAAGCTGGGATATGTACCCATGAGAATCGGTATCGTTTACACCACGAGATTGTATTTATAACCTTGCTGTAAAGAATAATGAATAAATTATTTATAATGGAATATTTATAAGGATATTGACATAATTTCATTGATATAATTTTTAAGTGACCTCAAAAGGAAGGATGTTTAGATTATCTGTATTTTATTGTATGTTGTATGTTATATGATAACCTTAAATACCTTTTTAAAAATTTTATATGTACGTGTTATATTTTAATTGTAAACATAACTGGATTCATAATTCTGTTGATATATTTGATTAGTTAATTTTAAATATAGGGTTTAATCCCATGGTGATTTCATATTAATTTTGTTACAGTTTAAGCCAAATAAGATAAACAGCTTAACAGATTTAATTTTTTTAGTTTAGTAAAATTCTCAATTCTCAATCTAGCTATCAGTATTTTATTCTTAATCGATACATAGATTCACATAGTTATTATCAGACGTGTAGAAACAAGGAAGTTGGTAATATCAATCAATTAATTAATGAATCACTTTGAAATACCTATACTTTGTAGCAATAATTAATTATGTCGTTACAAAGTAAATTTAGGATACAAAGTGAGAATTAAACAAAATAATTCTAATCAGGTGACCAAAGTAATGTGAAACTCTGATTTGTTGCTATTAATGCGTATAAGGTAATGATATCTAAAACTATGGTATCTAAAATCTATAAAGACTATCTAAAATTCTTATGAAAAGATAATACTATGTAATATATGTAAGATATAAGGCAGGAGGAATTACAAAAAATACTGTCGGTCGGGTCGAAGTAGAACAGAATATAAATTTCGAAAATCGTTACTGAAACTTTTAGTTTCAAAAATCGGAACGCCACATTTGTACTAAAATTAGCCATAACTACATAAATCTACCTACTACCTACTTGTCTTTTTTTAGAAAAAGAGTCGCACTAATATAATGAAATTGTAACTAGACGATGTCTGTACATGGGAGATATTTAAGAAAACATGTCTTATGTAGAAACCAAATGAATATCTTTTTGAAATTTTGTCTATTTATCTGTATGTTTGTTCTGATATCACGCAAAAACTATACACCAAATTGGATGTAATTTTCACAACTATGTTCTTAAAAGTATAACTTAATAACTGTTGTATGTTTTAACTCGCCATCTAGAAGGAGTCTATTTCAGTGATCTTTTTTACTTCTGAAATTTACATTTACGTAGTGGAGGGCAAAAAGCTAGTTACTATCTGAATATACAAAAAAAAAAAACAGATATTCAGCTAAAGCGAGATATTTGTCTCAAATTATCACTTAAAGAAAAACAAAATCAAGTTTTTAGGAATATTTTACCTACATCGCTACTACTCGTAAATTATTTTTTACTTCAATGTACTATAGTAAACAAGTAAGTTTATTTTTATAAAGTAGTTTTTGTTAATATATTACGTGGATCATAATTAAGCTGATGGTCAATCTGAAGGAAAATAGTAACACAACAGTTGCCTATGGACAACAGCATAAACGTTAGTATGTCCATATTATTGATGTTATGTCCATATTACACTTGTAATATCGTATTGTAATTCCCGGTAATTTAAAAATTATAATTATATTTATTTTTTAACATAACATGTAATTGAAAAACAGAAAGTTAATTTAAAAATATTATTGTGTGTTTGTGTGTGTTATTTTTGCTTTTAACCGATTGCAAAAAGAACAGGTATTAAATTCGTCTGTATAATTTTCATGTGTATGTTAGACTATATTTTGTCAATTCTGAATTTATTTAAATAATTATTTTTGTTTTCGTTGAGTTTTATTCCCGTGTTTTATATCAATTTTGTTACAATCGTTGTTCTTCTAGTAGAAAAATATCCTAAATATTTAAGCGAATTAAATCAATTTTTGAAACAGCATAAATTAAAAACAAGGTAAATATTCAATAATTGCTATTATTGATAACGGATATATCGAAATGAAGACAAATTTCTTTCTGTAAGTAGGTTAACAATCATTGTTAATAAAAGACGTTATTAAATTCTAATTAGAAATGAATATAGTAATTGTATGCCATTTGATAAAAACGTTCGATGTAAATGCGTCTTATATGAAAAATTTATAATTGTCGATTCATACAATCAATGCAATGACTAACGCAGCGCCAGCGATCTCAATGACAATCAACAATATCTCACGCGATATCCTACGACCTACGATTTGAATCATCAAATCGCATTAGAATAAATGGTCTATTTGCTATCATGGGATAGTAAACAATGACATTATTGAACAATGGTATTTTTTCTAAAAAGTAAGAATTTAGTTTTGATGATATTGGTGTGAGTCAACATGGGAGTAAATAATTTTATTTAAAAATTAATCATAAAAATCGGTTCGCAATTGAGAAATCGTTATAGATATAGAACATCTTACCTCTTTATTCATAAAAACTAAAACCTTCCATAATTCTATTTTAACTATTACACTGTTTTATCACTTTCTTTCAAAATGGGAGTTTAGCGTAAAAGAAAGAGACAAAACAGTTTAATAGCTAAATTACGCATATGGGACGTTCGACGTTTTCATCTATAGGTAGATAGATAGATATTTAATTTATTTGCATTACTTACAGTACACAGATGACAGCATACTGAGATATACGAAAAAGACATAAAAATAATAAGGGGCTAGTTCTTAGCAGTGGCAGCGTGTGAGGTGTTTCATGGATATTTTGGTATACTGTGATCTCCATAGTGTTGTTCATGCCTATAAGTTTTTTGTCATTCCAAGTTGCACAAAACTGAAAAATAGTTATAACAAATAATATTATTACTTCGACACTAACAGGAGTTTTCCCTTCTAAGTTTTACTAATAATTTATCAGCCTATATATATCTAATTTTCTTTACATTATTAAAATGAGGTATGTATAATTAAAGAACATCAACTTTGTCTTAGTAATTATAGTTTATGCATTAATGGCACTTTATTAAATGAGCTATCATTTAAATATTTCACATAATGACTAAAATTGTTATATTACTTCATTATTTTAATGTAAAATACTTCTTATAATTATACCAGTTACTAGACGTTTTTAGAGGAATAGTTTTTTTTCTTAAAAATTAAGACCTGAGTAATTTATAAATGCATAATAAAGGTCGTTGAGGTAATTTGAAATTTCGCTTTTAAGTTTTATCATAATGAGGACTTTAACATTTATTAATATTTAGTGTTCTTAAATACTGATAGGGCCAATATTTATCTTTATGGCAGGTCTTTTACTGGGTGGGTAGAATAAAGCAAAGAAATATGACAGATATGGAAACTCCTTCTAGTTATTTGAACTTTATTACAGAGGCGTATATAATTTTGATTTAAATTTTTGAGTATCGACTGTTATACAGATATATGATATACAAGGTACGAGGAGTCTATAGCAGCCAAGAAGAGTAGTGACCATTTTAATGAACCTCACTGAAGTAGTTCATTGCAATAATAAAATGAATTTTCATTAACAAAATTAATTCAAATACGAAGAAAGTACATACATAACGCTTTAAGTAATGCGCACGTGACGTTCTCAGTGTTGCAGTTGTCCATAAGCTACAATGACCGTTTACCATCAAATGGAATGTATATCGTTGTGATTAAAAAAAAAGCACATACACCTACTTAGTTATCTTGGTAGTCCAGATGAGAGGACTGAACTGAGTTAATACACTACTGTTTCCTCACCATATCTTTAAACATATGTGGATAAGAGCCTACCATGAACATTTATTTTCGTCCAGTTTACGCTTTTATGTTAGGTTGTAAATCATGGCGCCATTATTTTCACAACGTACTATATCCGTAAACATTTTTTGTAGACTTGTTATTACCTAATGTAGTCAATTATTTTTATTGCTTGTTTGTTTTGTGAAGAATATGAACATACTTGTAATATAGTAGAGTAATGGGGAGACCTTTGCCCCTTTGGAGTGCGATGTGAAAATGAATTTGTTTTATTATTACTCCATAGCCCCGTAATAATTCTTTATAAAATTTGATATAATTATTTGCACTTAGATATTCTATATAGTACCGTCTAAAAGATTATTGTAACAAATTTATATCGCCAGTTCTTTTTTCCTTGAAATTGAACACGCTACGGTGTGTCTACATTATAAACACAAAACAAAAATTATAAGATGAGAAGGTGGTATATTTGTAATAGAGAAGGAAAATGCTCTTGTTTTCTATCTTATTTCCTTTTGTCCCTACTTTTTATTCTGGGCAATCTGTCCCATTCAATCCCTCTGGGATTGAATGGAGTTTAATGCAGTTTTATGACGTCAGCTGAAAACACTAGTATCATTTATTTTTAAAATTTTATACTGCAATGGAATGTGTTCGAAATAAGTTTTCAGTTAAATCTACTAGTTGTTGAATTGCGTGGAGCATCCTCAAGCTGCTATGTACAAGTACAAGGCTGTTTCTGTGCAGTACAAGATTATTCATAATTACACTTCTAGAAATACGAGGTTGGTG